GCTTCTCCTGATAGCATGTCCAAAGTAGGTGAGACCGAATCTCACCATCATCCAAAGAGCATTCTGCTTGTACTTCTTCCAGGACAAATTAGTTTATTCTTCTGGCAGTCCATGATACTTTCAATATTCTTCACCAACACCATAATTCAAGTACACCAATTCTTCTCTGGTCTTTTTTAATTCATAGTCCAGCTTTCACATACAAATGTTGTTGTTGTTGTCAGGTGCCGTCGAGTCGATTTCAACACATGGCGATCCTGTATAGGGTTTCCAAGGAGCAGCTGGTGAGCTTGAACCGCAGACCTTACAGTTCAAACGGCTTTGCAGTCTGGCACATTAACCCACAGCGCCACACTGGGACTCCTCACATACAAATGAGGATATGAAAAATATCATGGCATGGATCAGTCTTCAAAGTGACATCTTTGCTTTCTTTCACACTTTAAAGAGGTCTTTTGTAGCAGATTTGCTTGATGCAATACGCCGTTTGATTTCTTAACTGTTGCTTTCATGAATATTGATTGTGGATCCAAGTAAAATTAAATCCTAGATGATTTTAATCTTTTCTCAGTTTATCATGATGGTATTTATTGGTCTGGTTGTGAGGACCAACTTTTGTTTTCTTTATTTTGAATTGTAATCTGTACTGAAGGCTATATTTTATCAGCAAGTGTTTCAAATCCTCTTTGTTTTCAGAAAATAAGATTGTGTCTTCTGCATATCACAAGTTGTTAATGAGTCTTCCTTAGATCCTCATACCATGTTCTTCTTCATATTGTTCAGCTTTTTGGATTATTTGTTCAGCATACAGATTGAATAAATATGCTGAAAGGATCTAACCCCCGACTTGCCTGATTTTACTACTTACTTGCTGTTGTTAAGTGCTGTTGAGTTGATTCGGACTCATAGCATAGGGTTTCCAAGGAATGAGTAGTAAATTTGAACTGTTGACCTCATGGCTCAAACTGACCTAACAGTCCTCTGCTTATCCTACAGTACCACACCAGGACTCACATGGTTGTTGTTAAAGTGCCATCAAGTCAGTTCAGATTCATAGCGACCCTGTGTAGGGTTTCTGAGGAGTGGCTGGCAAGCTTGAACTGCTGATCTTGCAGTTTAAACCGATCTCACAGTCTGGTCGATATTTTTGCTTTCAGATTTAAAGATTATCTTAGGGAAATAGTTTGGTGATGGAGGTGGTGGGGCAGACTCATCCGGCATCCAAAGCTCCAAAAAGTCTGAATTCCATGAGGACAGTGTCTTCTTTACAGCAGTGATACTCAAATCAGTAACACTATTATGGCTGTCGCTTCCCTGTGTATTGTGGGGAAAATCCTTTTTCCCTTTTTAAAATGATTAAGAATTACTAAAAAGTAATGATGAAAAGGAAAAACATTTCTGCCACAATCCTATGTTATGACATCACATCCACAAAAAAATTTATTGTATGTCTGTGGTTGCATCTGCACTATGTTATATACAAAGATATCCTAAAGAGAAATCCTAGACTAGTAAAGAGAAACATCAGAGATAAACACTAGAGGAAGAATGGGTTCATATTAGCCCATGTGCAAGAAAATCACATATATTTGACACATTTGGTCCTGGTGTTGCATTATAGGATAAGCAATGGACTGCTAACCACAGGTTGGCTGTTGAAACCCACCACCTGCTCCTTGGAAACCCTATACAGGGACACTATAAGTTGTAACTGACTCAATGGCACTAAACAACAACATGATATATTTATTTGATATATATGATATAAATTTTACATGTATTTATATAAGAACCATTAATTCATACTGATAAATACAATATAAAATTACCAATTGACCTGAGATGTGTTCAGTCAAAAAAAAGTTCACATTTAGCAAATACAAAGTATGTACTAAATGTCAACCGTTGTGCTAAATTTTTATAGGCATCGACTCAATTGAGCCTCATAATAACCATCTATTGTGAGTATTTCCTTTGTATTTTAAAGATAGGGAAACTAAGAAAGAAAATATTTAAGTAACCTGTCCATGATGTTACAACAAAGACATGAATCCTTTCTTGTACTTTTGCATACCTTTCCTGGAGGAACACAAATTGTGTTCCTTCTGAGAACAAAATGAAATTTGATGGGGCAAGATCAGGACTGTAGAGTAGGTGGGGTAAGGTTTCCTAATGAAATTCTTCTAAGACAGCTGTTGCTACTCTTGAAGAAAATTCCTTAGCACAACTTTCCTGACTTTTTTCTTACCAATGCAGTTTTCCATCTTCTTAAAACTTCTTCCTAACAAGCCTCATCCTGTGTCCTTTAAGAAAACCTACCAAAACTACTCCTTTGGGACCATTGAAAACAGTCTCCATAACCTTGTGAGCTGACCTCTGTCTTGAATGAAAGTGGCCCAGCTAATCCCCTTGGAGTCACTGTTTTGATTGGACTTTTTTTTTTAAGGCACACTAATGAGACTAAAGGAGCTCTGGTAGCGTAGTGGTTATGAATTGGGCTGCGAACCGCAAGGTCAGCAGTTTGAAACTAGCAGCTGTTCCACGGGAGAAAGATGAGGCTTTCTGCTCCCGTAAAGATTAATAGCCTCGGAAACCCTGTACAGGGTCGCTATGAGGAACCGACTCAAAGGCATATAACAATAACAATGAGACTAAGACAAATAAATGAATTAATGGGAAAACTTGTCTGCAGCCATCCACTGATCACAGACACATATGCAAACATGTTTTGTTTGGAATAAATCCATGCATGTGTGAACTGGAACCTGTCTGCCCTCATACTTCTTTATATTTCTTTCTTTGTTTACAGTAAGCCTGTAAACAAGTTTCTTCAGTTGCCAGTTCAAACTTGTTATTGCTCCTAGGTACTGTTGAGTCAGCTCTGACTCATAGTGACCCTGTCATTGGTTTGAGCAAGAAGGGAGACTTTGTTATGTAGGAGATAGGACATTTTAGAATCTAAGGACAAGAAAAGTAATGACTTGGAAAAGAATAGAATCAAGAACAGAAAGCCTTCAGGACTTTTGGATTCATTTCAGCCTCTCAGTGTTATTCTCTTTCTTCATTTGACCCTATATTCATTTATTCAATATGTATTGAATGCCTATTATGTTTGAGGAACTATTCAAGTGCTGGGCATAGAGAGGTGAATAAAAAAGTTTTCTGCCTTCCAAATCTATATTCTAGTGAGGATGCAAGTAAAGAAAAGTAAAGAAATGAAGGTAGTTTCTGAGTATGGTTAGTGTTAGGAAGGAAATAAACATGGTGATATGACAGAGTATAACTGGGGAGGTGCTCACTTCAGTTAAGAAGGTCAGGGAAAGATCTCTTGGCAGATAACAAGAGGCTGAGAACCTGAAGGATGAGAAGGAGCCAACTATGTTAAGAGCAAGGAAAAAAGGTATTTTGGTCAAATTCAAAGATCTTGTGAGAAGACCGAGGATGGTGGTTGGAAGAGCTGAAAGGTCAGTGTTGAGTGCTGTGAGCTAAGGGAGGAGAAGTACAAAATGTGATAGGAGAAGCAAGGGAGTCAGAACTTGCAAGATTCTGAAGTTTCCATAAGGAGTTTGATTTTATTTTAATGGAAAGCCGTTATTAACATTTAAGCAGGAAATGCTATAAGGTCGGTTGTTTTACAAAGGTCACTATGAATAGTAAAAAAAAAAAAAAAAAAGTGGTGAGAACATTAAAATGTTATGGTACTCGCGTTAAGAGACACAGGATACTTGAATCACAGTGCTGGCAGTGGAGACAAGGTAATATATTTTGTAGGAAGAACATGAAGAACTTGCTAATGGATGAGGGGCAGGGAGGAATCAAGGCTATAGGGACTGGTAAAATGGTAGTCCCATTTTTAGAGATAGGGAGAGAATGGGGAAAGACCAAGTTTAAGAAAGAAATCAAAATTCCAGTTTGGAACAGGTGAATTTGAGATATCCAGTGTCCATGCAAGTAGAAATGTTGAATACAGAAAGATGTACAAATCTGGAGCAACAACATATAACATATAATACTTAAAGCAAATAAATAATAATATTTAAAGCCAGGGAAGTAGATGCTGTCATATAGAAAAAGAGTGTTGGCCAAGGTGTGAAGCAACTTTACAGATAGGAGTTCCTGGTGATTCAGGCCATTGGGCTGAATATAGTCATCCCACTGCTCCCAAATTTACATGTTATAGTTCGAATTATTCACTTTATCAGTCCCATTTCCAACATTCTGGGAATCTGATAGGCTTGGCTTAGATCAGTTGTCTACCAAGATCCAATTATTAATGAATGGGGGGTAGAGGCTCTTTCCCTGAGAAAGTCATTGACTTTCAAGCTGAGCAGACACTTCAAAATTGATCTAAAATTAATTCTGTAGTTAAACTAACAGCTGATTTTTGTTTTGAACAAATAAAGTCATTATTACTGAATGTTTGTTTTCACCCTTTGCTATAGAGTGTACCACACCACCAACAAAATAACTGTGACATGCTGCATACCATTATTAAAGCGCTGAGAAATTCAAGCTACAGCTTAAGTTGAGCCTAACTAAGTACACTCTGGAATCCTGGTGTGGTGCTCGCTATAGGATAAGCATGGGACTGCTAACTGCAAAGTCCGAGGTTCAAACCCACCAGTTGATCCTTGGAAACCCTATTCCAATTCTCTGAGTCAGAACTGACTTGAGGTTACTTAACAAGAACAAGAACATTCTGGCCAGAAACCAAATCCAACCCACTGCCAATGAGTTATTTGGGACACATGGTAACCCCGTAGGACAGAGTAGAACTACCAATAGAATTTCCAAAGCTGTAAATTTTTATGGATGCAAAGTGCTACATCTTTCTACCATGGAGCAGCTGGTGGATTCAAACTGTCAACATTTTGATCAGCAGTCAAGCGCTCTACCCATCATGTCATCAGGGTCCCTTACATTCTGAAGATGCATGTAACTAGCTGGGCTTCTCTCTTTCAGTGTCCTCTGAGACCTCTGCCAGCTTAGGAGCTGACATAATGCCATATCTTCTGGTGGATGATACCTCAGGAGACCAACCAGTTAGAGACAAAGACTCACTACCTCTCATGCTGCCAGCCTGGAAAGGTAAATTCAATGTCTGAGGAAGGATAGCTGTTAGAACTGTAGCTCTCGCTCTGGCACTGTGCGTCATCTTGCTCACCTTCCCAGTAATTGTTATGCTCTCAGCTCTGTTTTCAATCTTCTCAACATTTTATTCTTAAATTTTGTATAATATTTCTTATATCTCATATAAATGAGGAGAAAAAATATAGATAATTTTAAAAGTAATAATAAATTTTTGGTGTTGTTAAGTGCTGTCCAACTCATAGCGACCCTGTAATTGGGTTTCTGAGAAGTGGCTGATGGGTTTGATGTTCAAACCGACCTTGTGGTCCAGTGCTTATTCTACAGTATCACAAGATATAAAATAATAAAGGTAAAATATATATTAAAGAGCTCATGCAATGACAACAAAAAGAAACACAACACAATTTAAAAATAGTGTTTCACTCAGTTGTGCACAGGATATCTATGAGTCGCAAACAACTTGGGTTAACATACTGGACTACAAGGTCATTTGAACCGCAATTTCGGCGGTTCAAGCTCACCAGCTGCTTCTGTGGCGATATGGTTTTCCTTTTAGCGTCGCTATTAATTTTTAAAAGGGAAAAAGGAATTTCCCCACAATACACAAGGAAGCAACAGCCATAATAGTGTCACTGATTTGAGTATCACTGCTGTAAAGAAGGCACTGTCCTTATGGAATTCAGACTTTTTGGACCCATGGATGCTGGAAGAATCTGCCCCACCACCACCATCACCAAACTATTTCCCTAAGATAATCTTTAAATCTGAACGCAAAAATATCAACTGAAATCTTCTTAAAACCAAACAATAGTTTAGCTTAACCAGTAAAGAATATCTGCCTTAAGCATCATGCTCTTTCAAGATCTATGTATATATATGGCAACAGCAACTCGAAATAATAGATCAGTGCTTCAGGGGCAGTGAATTTATGTCATTGTGGAAGGGACAACTCAGAAAAGAAGGATGAGAACTATTGTACAACTTGAAGAATGTAATCAATATCACTGAAACTGAATTGTATGAGGGTGAGTCAAACAATATTGCTACAAAATCATAGAAACATTTATTAAACAAAAATATCAAAATCAGAAACCATTGTTTCTCAACATATCCTCCTTCTAGGTTTGTACACTTCTACAGGTAGTGTTTCCATCTCTGTAACCTTTCCTTGAAGAATTCTGTACTCTTTAATTTACATGTGGTAAGTAGGTAAAATAATAAAACCAGAAATCAAACTTTTTCAAAAATATAATTTAAAACATTAAGGAGGTATGCACTCCTTAGAATGATCAACCAGGACAAAATTCAGAAGAGCTAGGAAAGAAGGAGGAAGGGAAACACAGGGAGGAAGTGGGTAAGTGATTTTACATTGTGGGTAATGCAATCAGTGGCATGAAAAAATCATTTGTATTAACTGTTTCCAGTCTCTATCATATCCACTAAGAGACAAGTGTGAATACTAAGAACACACAAACATACAATCATCAATTAAATATTAATACAGCAACACCACAAAAGAGGAAGACCCCCAACGAGATGGAATGGCCAGGTGACAGCATCGATGGACTCAAGTGTGGCAACAATAATGAACTTGGCCCAGGATCGGGCAGTGTTTCGTTCTGCTGTGCATAGGGTCGCTATGAGTCAGTACTGACTCGATCGCACCTAACAACAACAACATCTCTGAGAAAACAGACAATTTCAGCTAACAGGCAGAAACAAAGTGCCTCAAAGAAGTGACCAAAATTTAGAGTCGGAAAATATTATAACAGAAATGGTATCAGAACTACTTGATAAAGAATATAAAAGAATGCTATTTAGATTCCTTCAACAAATTGAGAGAAAGATTGACAAAAGCAAGGAAGAATTCAGGAAAATAATACAAGAATGAACTGACAAAATAAATAAAACACTGGAAACTATACAAAAACAATTAGAAAGCCAGAAGATTAATACTAAGACTTCAGAAACAGATAATACATTGAAAAGGCAAATACATTGAATCAATGGAAGGCCGACTCAGGAAGCTTGAAGACAGACCTGTCAATACTCATCTTAGAGAAGAACAGTTAGAAAAAATAATTTAAAAATCCAAAGAAAGCCTAAGATTTACGAGGGACACTATCAAAAGGAATAATTTATGTGTGATTAGAATTCCAGAACAGGAAGAGATAAATAAAAGAGTAAAGAAAACTGTCTAAGAGTTGCTGGAAGAAAACATTCCTAACGTAATGGAAATTGGGGTACCTTCATCTCATGATCGTGAGTCATAACCTGAGCAAGGTGGTCAGAGGGTCCGGAAGCAATCTGTAAATCTTTCTAATCTGCAGTGGTATACAAATCCCAGTCATGGTCCCTTTCCTGCTTCTGTAATCTTCCCTGGGACTGTGATGAATTGATCTGCCGCCAATCATGACTTTGTGAGGAATTTCTCTTCTGTAGTAAGTTACATGGATATGAATCCTTTACACATCATATGGCTTCATGCTGATGGTCTTCCTCATGCAGATGATTTGTCTTTGTCTTGTCTGTGCCCTGATTTAGATTTAATAAAGGAATGTACAGAATATATTTTAATTTGGAGTCTTTTCCTCCCTAGAACAATTAAAAACCCTATTTTATATTTTCATCAAGAGAATGTACTTTCTAGACAGGAAGCTGGGTCATACCTGGAACTATATTAAGAGGCCTCCAGAGTTCCGTTAGCACCTATTTTCATATATTTCATGAATTTTCTCTTACTCAAGATAGACTCTTGTGCTCTGGACAAGATATGATAAAAGACTTAATGGGTTAAGTATTTACATGTAAAAAGCATCTCCTTTTATCGTCTCCTGTATCTTTAGGTAAGAATATAAAAACTCAACCATCTTTGAGCAAGATGAGCAAGAAGGAATTAGAGGACAATTTCTTCCGACTTTGTGAAGAGCACATGTTGGTGAAGGTATTTTCTTGGAAGCAGCAGGATGAGCTCAAAAGGTATCTCAACTTTTCATAAGTCTTTGAAAGTTGTGTGTATTCCAGACCTCCAACCCACTGAATAAAAGAGAATACAGGGTAAGACTGAGGAATTCACACTGACCCCCTAAGACAGGCAGCATCCCTTAAACAAACAATAAATAAGGGGGAATCTGATGCAGACCGTGCAGACCGGTCAGGAGGTCAAGACCCTGTGGGCCCAAGCGTTGTTGACCGTCCAAACCATAGGCTCTGAGGATCAGACTTTAGCTACCTAGTAGACATAGCAAACTGTCCCTCATCTGATTATTCAGTAATGCTTGTTAGTAATCTCATACATGAGCCCTGGATATCCACAGACAAATGTAAAAACCCTCCCTAAAAGCCGAGACTGTAAATTCCAAAAAGGCAAGACCACCCCCCCCCATCCAAAAAAAAAAAAAAAGCTAAAGAGGATAGAGAGAAACACTGTTAACTGATGATATATGGAGAGGATAATAATGTAATGAAACAAGCTATATGAATGGTTGAATGTGAAGCTGATGATGTGCCCTGTAAACTTTCACTCAATCCAAAATAAAAACATTTAATAAAAAAAAAAAAAAAAGAGAGAATACATTTTTTCTGAGAGAGCTAGGCCAGAAAATTAAACTATTTCAAGGAAGTTTGGCTCCAAAAGTAATTACTGCAGTACCATTGCTTTATTCTGTTTTCCTGCCAAACATATCGATAGACTGTAGCCACAATGTCATTGTTGAATTGTCATCCCTAGAACGGTGTTACCATCCTTTCAAAGAACTGGGAAGGCATAACACGCAAAAGAAGTTAGAAAGACAAAAGGCTTAAGAAAATAAAGGATAAGTTTATTATAAGCATAGGCGTTCTTACAGAGAGGGTTAAGAAGAAGTGTCTACCTTGCAGAAGGAATGGAGTGGAGTCCGGAGTATAATTTGGCTTCTTCTTTAAAGACCCATTTGTCTGTGGTGTGGGCTCACTCCTGGTTTGAGTACCCCCAGGGATACCAGATTACCTTGAATCCTGTTTTCTCTGGTTTCAGTTTATCTTTAACTAACTTCATTTCTCCTTACAATAGTATCCCCTCTCACCTACCCCTCCCCGCCTCTTAACTACCTTTATTTCCTCTGGCAAACCATCTTTCCTCTCCTACCATCCCTCTCCTCTGATATTCCTCATTGCTGAGGTTGGTTTTGCCCTGCTGAAACAGGCCATTCCTACAGTGACTTGAGCCCAGCTTCTTTCCCAGTTCTAAGTATTTAATAACAGTGGATCCAGAACTTGGGCAATACCATTTCAACACGCAGAGAAGGAGACTAGGCAATCAGGCTGAATCCCTTCTTTCATTTGGTTCCTACCCCCAGTCACAGAAGACAGGGATGCCAGAGAGGAATAGTCAAAATCTCAGAGGAAGGAAGGTGTGTAGGGGCAAGTAGAAGTTTTAGTTAGGTGCCCTCAACCTTTATTTACAAAAAAAAAACCCTTGAATTTATTTAATATGTAGGCATGTTGAAGTGTTTTGTATGTATTCACCAATTTAATACTGCTAGCTCATTAAATGCTATATTGTTGTTGTTGTTAAGTGCTGTCGAGTCAGTTCTGACCCATAGTGACTGTGTATAGGGCTTCCAAGGAGCGGCTGGTGAGCTTGAACCACTGACATGGTGGTTCAAAGACCTTACAGTCCAGCACATTAACCCAAGTTGTTTGTGACACATAGCGATCCTATGCACAACAGAGCGAAACTGCCCAGCCCTGCACCATCTCACAGTTGTTGAGGTCCTGCAGTTGAGTCCATCGCTGCTGCCACAGTGCCAATTCATTTTGTTAGGGGTCTTCCTCTGTTTCTCTGACCCTCCACTTTACCAAGCATGATATCCTTCTCTAGGAACTTGTCCCTCCTGATATGTCTGAAATCTGAGAGACAAAGTCTTCCCATCCTAGTTTCTAAGAAGCATTCTGGCTATACTTCCAACACAGATTTGTGTGTTCTTCTAGAAATCCAATATCCTTCTCTAACACCATAACTCTAACACCATTACTCAAATGCATCAATTATCCTACAATCTTCCTTATTCATTGTCCAGCTTTCATATACATATGAGGCTATTGAAAATAACATAGTATAGATCAGGTGCACCTTAGTCCTCAAACTGACATCTTAGCTCTTGAACACTTTAAAGAGGTCTTGTGCAGCATATTTGCCTATGCAATATATTGTTTGATTTCTTGACTGCTGCTTCCATGAGTGTTGACAGTGGATCTGAGCAAAATGAAATCTGACAATTTCAAAATTTTCTCAGTTTATCATGATGTTAATTGTTGGTCTCGTGGTGAGAATTTTTGTTTTCTTTACATTGAGGTGCAATACATTCTGAAGGCTATAATCTTTGATCTTTATTAATAAATATTTTAAGTCATCTTCACTTTCAACAAGCAAGGTTGAAGTTGTATCATCTGCATATCACATTCCAATCCTGATGCTACATTCTTCTTCATATAATTCAACTTAGATTATTTGCTCAACATCCAGATTGAATAAGCAGGTGAAAGAATACAACCCTTGTACACACCTTTCCAGATTTTAAACTATTCAGTGTCCCCTTTTTCTGTTAGAACAACTGCCTCTTGGTCTATGTACAGGTTCATCATGAGCATAATTAAGTGTTCTGGAATACCTGTTCTTCGCAATGTTATCTATAGCTTGTCATGATCTACACAGTAGAAAGCCTTTGCAAACTATTAAGAGGAGGAACAGAAAAGTTAAGAAAATTGCCAAAAGTCAGAGCAAAGCTGACACTGAAATATACTATGTATTGGAATCCTAGTGTGGTGCTAACTGGACAGTTGTTGATTCAAACCCACCAGTCCCTCTTTGGAAACCCTATATAATGTCCCTATAAGTGACAGTCCTGGTGTGGTGCTGTGGGATAATGCACTGGATCTGTTTGAATCACTAAGTCAGTGGTTCTCTGGGGTTGAGAACCTGAAATCTTAAGGAGTGGAAAGGAATGTGGACAGAGTTGGAAATGGTGTTAGCCTAGGCTTGAGGGGAGATGGTGTTGTTGTTGTTGTTAGGTGCCATTGAGTCAGTACCAACTCATAGCAACTTTATGAACAATAGAACGAAACACTGCCCCATCCTGCCCCAACCTCACAGGCACTGTTATGCTTGAGCCCGTTGATGCTGCCACTGTGCCAGTCCATCTCATTGGGGGCCTTCCTCTTTTTTGTTGACCCTCTGCTTTACCAAGCATGATGTCCTTCTCCAGAGACTGGCCCCTCCTGATAATATGTCCAAAGTATGAGAGACAAATTCTGACCATCCTGGCTTCTAAGGAACATTCTGGCTATAGTTCTTCCAACAAAGATTTGTTTGTTCTTTTATCAGTTCATGGTACTTTTAATATTCTCTTCCAAAACCATAACTCAAATTCACCAATTATTCTACAGTCTTCTTAATTTATTGTCCAGTCCCTGGAGAAGGACGTCATGCTTGGTAAAGCAGAGTGGTGGTGGTGGTGATGTGCCATGGAGTCGGTTCTGACTCATAGTGACCCTGTACAGGGTTTCCAAGGCTGTAAATCTTTATGGGAGCAGAAAGCCTCATCTTTCTCCCGCAGAGCAGCTGGTAGTTTTGAACTGCTGTCCCTGAGGTTAGCAGCCTGATTCATAACAGCAGAGTAGTCAATGAAAAAGAGGAAATCTCCCAATGGCTAGAGTCCTGTTGTGGCGCTGAAGGATAAAACACTGGACCACAACGTTGGTTTCAACCATAAGGTCAGTGGTTCAAACTCACCAGCCACTCATTGGAAACCCTACACAGGATCACTATGAGTCAGAACCAACTTGATGGCACTTAAAAACAACAACAACCTGGCTAAATGGTGGCGTGGTGTGCCTCGTGACCCTGTAGGCCTGAGTCATAGCAACCAGGACCATAACTTTTAAATTAGCTAGATAACATGTAGCTATTTTCAGCAGGGACTCCGGATATGGCAGTATATATATCACAGAACTAGACTGTGAACCACAAGGTCAGCAGTTCAAACCCACCAATTGTTCCTCAGAAACCCTATACAGAGTCTTGATGAGTCAGAACTGACTCGATGGCACTTAACAACAAAAATTTTCAGAAAATTATTAAGGACTTGTCCAGGCAAGTTCCACAATTCAAATGAAAATTTGAGGGCAAAAATTTGAGGGCTTCCCAGTTGTAAACTACTTTCAAACACATTCATCTCGAGGGCAAAAGTGTCTGTGCTTGCTTTCTCCTCAGAATTTGTCATGGCCATATTACTGGTTTAATGGCTTAATGAAGTCAGGATTTATGTCGAGATTCAAAATGGAGTTGGGTTTCCACTCTAGAGTGCAGGCTTCCGGAAACTAAGTGCTTTAACATTTAAGCTCTAATATTTACATCCCCCTTTAAAAATTAGTATTTTTATTTGTTTTATAATACTGAAAATTTACTATTGCTGACATTGTTTGGTACCCTCAAGTATGTACTAACTAATAGCAACCTTATGCACAATAGAAGGAAACATTCCTCCGTCCTACACCAAGTTCAAATTGTTGCTATGTTTGAGCCCATTCCTGCTGTAACTGGGGCGGGGGGGGGGGGGGGGGGGTCTTCCTCTTTACCAAGCATTATGTCCTACTCCAGGGACTGGTCCTTCCTGATAAAATGCATATGGGGCTATTGAAAAATACCATAGCTTGGATCAAGTGCACCTTAGTCCTCAAACTGAAATCTTTATTCTTGAACACTTTAAAGAGGTCTTGTGTAACAGATTTGCCTAATGCAATACACTGTTTGATTTCTTGACTGCTGCTTCCATGAGTGTTAATGGTTGATCTAGCAAAATGAAGTCTGTAACAACTTCAATATTTTCTCCATTTATATGGATGTTGTTTACTGGTCCAGTGGTGAGGATTTTTGTTTTCTTCAGGTACAACCCATACTGAAGGCTGTGGTTTTTGATCTTCAATAGTAAGTGTTTTAA